TTGATCCATTCGTGGATCGATGGGCACTTGGGCTTCTTCCATGAAGTAGCTGACATCTTGAGCTATTATTCCTCAATACCTGAGCTTATATCTCTCATATCTAATGCTACTCTCTTATGTAATCACAGTACAGTTGTTAAGTTCAGGAAATTTAACATTGATGATATTCTATTATTTAATATACTACGTATAGTCAGATTTCAACAGTTCTTTAATTATGTGCCTTATGATAATTTTTTCCAGTCCAAGATCACAAATTATGGTTAGTTGGTATCCCTTTAGTCTCCTTTAATATGGATCAGCCTTTTTGTATTTCATGACTGATATTTTCAGGAGCTGCTTATTTTGTAGAGTGTCCCTCAATGTGGGTTGTTTTATTGGTTCCTTTTGCATGGTAAGTATTTTTGACAGAAATAACATGTAGATGATGTTGCATCCTTTGAGTACATTGCATTGGAAGGAACAGGTTGTTCCATTATTGGGGATGTTGGCTTTCACTTGATTAAGGTCAGTTGATTTGCTTGCCAGATTTCGTCAATATAAAAGTAGCTTTATTCCTTTGTAATTAGTAAGTAATTTTCATGGAGATAACAGTATTTTGTGACTCTGCGACTATCCTGTTACCTCAGATCTTTGATGGCTGCAAGTTCTTGTCTCAATGTGTCAAAATCTTTGGTGATTTTGTCTTTGAATTCATTGAATTTTTGAGAGCACATTTAAAATGCTCCTTGAATTTCTAATTCCAACTTTACCTCCATTGTATTAATCTTATTTGCAATCCAAATTCTGAATTAGATTTCTGACATCTCAGCCATTTGTTTATGAATGGGATCTCCTGTTGTGTCCACCATGTCGTTTTTTGGGGGAGTTGATCTACTCTGGTTATTCAGGTTGCCAGAGTTTTTTTGGCTGATTCTGCCCCATGATTATTTTACACTGTTGGGCTAGATAAGCAGATAAGGTGAAGTTGGGTTGGGGGTTCCTGGAGGAGGGATTAACCAGCTCTTTAACCAACAGCTGGGACTGGTGTCTGTACCTTTTCCCCTAGAGCTTTGCAAAGGATTTGTACAGTGCTATGGCTTAAGACACT